TTTTTGTTTTTCTTTCTAGAGGGGACCAAGCAAACATGACAAATATATATATATATATATACACATATGTATTCGGGTTTGCCATTTGGAGTTCTGCTGGTCTCAGGCACCTTTTGCGAGGATGGGCAGATCCGGGTCTTTGAGATTGCAGAGCGCAAGGACCAGTCGGGCTTCGATTGGGGCCACAATCAATGGGGATCCTTATAGAGCCACAATCAAAATCTGGGGACTTGGCCCTTAAGATCCCTTAAGGTCACCAACAGGACACCCTATGTGGCTGTTTGATCCTCTACCCCTTTTTCCTAGGTACCTGTTTCGACCGGACTTATTAGGTTTGTGCATCTTGAGGTCTCAAGTGAATCATTATCATGATTCACCCCAACCTTAGATGGTTGCTTAACCCCTTGATCAGGTTGCCATGATTCACCCAGAACCGCTGAAGATTGATGGGACAACAGTTGTATGATTGTTCTAGTGGAACTGGAGTCTGTCAAGGATTCGCGACATGTGTTTGCCGTGAAAGAAGCATGCAGGGAACCTTTCTTAGCGCGAGCTTTTCAAGAGTTTCTGGATTCCATCCACAGATCGCTCGTGGGCGGGTTTCATTCCAGTGCTCTCCGCTCCAACTGAGGAGGAAGTCAAAATCTCGGACTCGAAACGGTTAGTTTCATGCTAAAGTTCTCTCTGCCCGCCTCAAAATGGACCTCCGTTTCGCCAGCTACCCTACCAGAAGCCTCGGAGCACTAGTAGCCGCTTTTAGACAGGACGAACAGTGGGTTGGAGGTTGTTGGTGAAAGAGCTTTGGCGGGTGGCCGTCTCTCCTCTCACCAACCACAAACACACATCTCGTTGGAGCTTGCCCCATGCGTGCCAATCGATCGTTTAGCTGAGTTAGAGTCTGTGCAACCCAACCTGACGATTCTGCAATGGGGAGGGTCGTATCAAAGAACCATCCGCGACTGGCATCCCAAACTTACTAGGGCTTTTCATGTCTTAACCGTTGACACGGAAAAGGGCCAAGCCTTTGTTCGTTCGCTTGACGCTTTCCTGGCCAGGGTCTGAGCCAGACTCGGCAGTTGCACGAAGTTGCTGAAGAAAAAGTTCATCCTCCCAGCCAATTCCTTCGCAAGGAACAACATTCTTCCGGGCGTTTGTCGGTGGGAAGACATATTTGGACGTGGTTCATCAGGCAGCAACGGCCCGCTGCGTTCAAAATAAGGGGCCTTCCTCAAACGGCATCTCCTGCATGTCTTCTTTAGACTTGGCGTGCTTTTTGGTTCGACCACCCTCTGGAGGGGGCAACACCAAGCCAGAGAAAGGTTCTCCCACCAGCCAGAGATGCAGCCCTTCGAAGGCTTAAAGGACCAACCTAAAAACAGCCCTCGAAACAAATCAAAGCAACATCGCCCACCCCCTCCCTATGTTGGACTCAGACCAACCCAGAAATGGGGGCGGGCCATGGTCCTGGTGATTCATGGTGTCCTTCCGCAGACGCGGTAAGCATACCCGCATACTCACGGAGCAAGGTAGCCGAAAAGGAGCCCTTGGTTGTTTTGAGAAGCACCCACCTTAAATGGTGGAAGGGCAACAAGGGCACGTCTCAAAACCAATCACCCCTCCAGGTCGGTTTTCGTTCTTCTTTTTTTCCTCCCCCAGCAACCAAATCACCAACAACTGCCGATATTAAAAAAAAAGGTGTTCGACCACTCGACGCCGCCGAAAAAACCGGGCGGAAGGAGCTCCAGGTCTTTGACACCAGCGAGCCCTTGAGCTGGGGGGTCCTCAGTCCCAGCGGCTTGGAGGCGGAGTCCGGCGGTGATTCTTCGGTGTCCTAGGCCTTTGGCCCAAGGGGACAACCCCTTTGGTTGATTTTTTTTTCAAGAACTTTGGTTTTGTTGGTATTTTTGTTGTTGCTTTCCTTTGCTTTCCAACGGGTTGCGAATAGGTGTTGTTTCCTTGGCCAAATTTCTAGGGTGACTATCGCATCTTCTATTAGCTGGGTGTGCGTCACCAGGATTCCAAGTATCTTCTTTTGCTGGGCCTTTGGTTTGACAGCCAACCACCAAACCAGCGTGCCCCGTAAGAAAGTTGTGTTTCTTCTTCATACACCATGTCAAGAACAATGGAGAATGGCACGTTGGATGTTCTGACCCGGGAGCAAGTGAGGGATTGGCCAATGTTTGCTCAAAGCCCATCAAGCCAACAGCCGGTTTGCAATATGTGTTTGTTCGACCAGTAGTTGAAACATCTAGTTCATGACGCACCTCCTAGAAAGGAGGGGCAGGGGCCATCGCATATCTTTGGTGCATTTTGCTTGGATGTTAGGACTTTAACTTTTTGCCAGCTAGTGGGTTTTCCATTAAACCACTAAAAGTTAAACTTTTAGCAAAGAAGCAGAAAGCGACCGACCACCGTCGGCTCCAGATCTGCACCACCAGTACGGAGGGCCAGCTTCAGCCGGGGCCCCAGTGGCTGGATTTGGCCCCCTAAAGGCCAAAGAATCCCACCGGAACACGCCGAAGGGGGGGAGTCGAGGGGTGGTTTGTAGGGTCGCTAGTGACTCACAGAACCATGGCCATGGCGAAGGATTTGCTTGGAATTCGCTCAGGTGGTCAAAATTGCCTGACTCGGTCTTATCTGGGCAGGATAGTTAGCGGCCACCATTTAGGGGGTGGAGGAAGAACCAAATACATTGCCGGCCAGGAGATGCAGGACAGCGTGTATCTTGCTTCCATTTGCTTAAGCCTATGCTTGATTCTCCCTTGTTGGTTTTAAAGGACAATTATCACAACTGGCAATATTTTTTGATGTTTTCCAGGGGGCTTGTGCAAATAGAAGCTTGCGAAAGTCCTGATTGTTGCTCACCCTTCATTTGTCAGTATATTGCCTTTCAAAGCATCCCGTGACCGTGAAATCGGTGGGGTTCTTGTTTCGCAGGTGGCTTGCAATCAGAACAGTTCACTGTCTACGAAGGTGTTTCTCAAGCTGCGGGCCCCTTATGTTCGAAAGGAAATCCGGCGCACACCCCCTCCACGACTTAGGAGCAAACACCAGGGTCCCAGATTGGAACAATCACCGTCGGATTTCATCTCAAAGACCAATCCCGTGAAGGTATCGGGAGGAGAGTGCCAGTGATTCGGACCCTTTTGGGCGAGCACTCCTGTTCCGCCCAGGGTGTGGGGTGTGGAAGGACGCATCAGCCGGAAGTTGAAGGACCGGGCAGCTGGCGGAACCCGAAATTGGGCAAGCTCTCGTCTGCTTTGAGTGAACCTTCCCAAACGCTGGATCTGTCTCAATGGGGGGCATATTTCTCCTCCGCAGGGCCCAAGAACCTCGCTTACCACCAAGCCTCAAAGACGTACAGAGAATGCTTAGTTATCCAAACACGCATATTCGATATACATGTCATGTGATATGTAACCATATGCAGAGGGATTCCACGGACACCAGGCGTTGCCCGGGAAAAGCCACCGCGAAAGCCATGGAGCACTCGTGCACAAAATTTCCCAGAGGGGCTCCTCAAGGGCGAGACCCCCGAAATTAAACTGCAGAGCACTTTGGAGTCCTCGTGGGGGGCCCCTTGGACCGTCGCTCAAGACTCCACTCCACCAAGCAAGGTGCCGCGCCGATGGTCAAAGGATCCTTGCATGTTGCAGCCGGGCTTTGCGTGAGATTCTTTAGGCATCCTGGCGGTCAATGATTCTTGGAAAGTAGGCCATCGACTTTGGGTTCCTTTGAATGGCCGGGTCACCCCAACAGCAGATAGAGTTGGACTTTTGGCTGTCTGAGGGCTTTCGGTGCTCTCCGTTCGAGTGACGGGAGAAGGAGATGAGCTTGTCCACGCTTCCCCAACGGTGTACTGGTTGGGAAGATCTGACCTTTCCCCTGCAGAGTATCATTGCCGGTGTCTCCTTCATTGTTTTTTTTGAGAGTAGACTAAGAAACAACAAACCAGGTACGATCTCTATTTTTGGAGCAGCCAAAATTTTGGCGTCCCCCCCACATTTCGTGGGTTTCACGGCGCGGTTCGGCCGGGTTTTCTCAGGAGCACCAGAGGTACCTGGAGGAGCTCGAGAACCCTCCGGCCCCGGACGCCCCAGCCGCCGAAGCCGAAGCCGAAGCCGAGTCCGTTGGGCCGGCCGGGTCCTGAGAGGTGGGGCGGATGAAAATTTTCATGTGGGGCCCCCAAGTGGCCATGGGAGTACCTGTTGTTTTTCCTTTTCTGGGGATGTCTTCTTTTTTTAGTGGTTTGCCCAATGGTCATCCGAATGTGAAGGACCTTTTGATCACCCTCCTCAAGCTTTGAAGCCCCTCTGGCCTTTTGTGTTTTCTGCATCTTTCCTGAACCAGCTGCTTGACTTGCAGGGAAGTCTGGCCAGGGTACGGCAAGAACTTGCATGTGGCATTTGACTGAAGCCCCCAAGGTTTTGGGTGGCGATGTTGGGTCAATTGCTCCCAAACCAAACTTATGTTACTTGCCCCAGCAAGTGCCTGGAAGAGGGATGGACGGGACACACGTTTGGTGTTACTTTCAACATCCGTTTCTGCAAAATGTCTATTTTGGGAACGGACATGGACTGACCACCAACAAACACACTCCCCGGCCCCCCGTTCCAGATTCTGGGAATGCAGCAGGCAATAAAGCAGCCGGTCTCACGCATTGAGCAGAAACCAAATTGCAGATTCGCCTCCGCTGTCTTCTCTTGCCGAATCCGTGGCTGGACGTCTTTGACGGCTCAATTGCAGCATTCAAAAGGCGGCTCAGCTTGCCTAAGATTCTCAAAGGTGTTTCTTGCCCATCCAGAAATTCGTGGATCCCTTGTTTGATTCTTTGGGTTCATGGGTTAGTGACTAGACTGCCATGGACCACGGCCTGTTCATGAGGCTTGGTGGCTCCCAGCCATCCCCTCAGCTTCTTAGCTTTTTACGGTTTGGCGGGGGTTTTCCATTTCGCCTACGAAAAGTTAAGCGGAGAGCCCAGGAGACAGGCTTCATTCCACTGAGTCGACCCTCGGAGCTTGCGGTGCTTTTGGCCTCGCGGCCTTCTCTCTGTGACGGGACCTCGCCGGCCGTGCCGGGCCTCGGGTCGCCCATGCCATGGCACGCAAGAAGGAGCCCCAGCCTGTGCCGGCGCCATGCCAAGGCCGTTTTTTTTTGTCGCGGAGAACCTGGATAGCCAGTGGCTGTTTTCTTTTTGTTTTCTTCCCATGCACTTTGGCCCAGCAACAGTGACTGAACAAAGCAGCGACTTGGCGATCTAGGAAGGTGGTTTCAGTGATACCAAGAACCAGCCCTATTCAAAGTGGTGAAGTAGCCATGGGAATCAACCACTTTGGTATTGCAGAAAGGGTTGTTTTCCACGGCCGTGTGGAACATGGGTTCAGGCTGCCAAGGAGAAGGTGAGGGTTGCCGTTGATTCGGGTCCCGGATATGACAAGTCACGGGCGAGAAAATCAACCACTTCGGTATGTTATTCATGCTTTTTTATGGTGCGAAGCCAGGCATACTTTCTTGTTCTTCTTGTTTCAGGCCTTGAAGCCAGTTGTAGCTTGAGGAGCTCACCCTGGAACAAAGAGCTGAGGTGACAGGCAATTCCCCCCCATCCCTTCCGCCAGGGCATCAGTGGTGACTAATACTGTGACCGTAGGTCTGTCGGCTAAGTCAAGATTTGTGGTACGATGCCGGGTATATTTTGAGGAGAAATAATGTAGACCCTCCAAGGCAAGTGACGTAGAAGGGCCGAGGCAACAACGGAGGAAGTTTACTCATAAATAAATATACTTGGGACTTGTATGCTGGGAGCCGAGCGGAGTTTGAAGAAACCCCCCAGAACAGACCCGCCACATCCTTGATATAGCGCAATCCCGACTGTTTTAAGGCACCGTCGTCGCGGGCCTACCGGCGCGATAGTGCCCTTGGCAAAAACAGAAAGATTTGGGTCTGATTGGCATGTAGTTCATGCTTTTGTTACGCAGAGTTCACATTTTGTATACACCTTTTTGCTGTAGGTATACCATCTTGGGATTCCGATTGTGATTTCAGGCACCACCTGCCTTGAGGTATCTTGAGGTGGGAGAAGTGTGTACTTTTCGGAGGGTGGGGCGCTTAAGGTGCAAACAAATGAGAATAAATCGACATGTTGCGGGAATCGTATTGAATTCAAGAAACGTAGTGAAGTTTAAAGAAAACGTAGCTAGGTTGACAGCGTAGGTTGCAAGGCTAGTCTGCCCTCAAAGCAACCCTTAGCAGCCAGACAACCTACCCAGAACCCTTCCAATCTCAGCCCACACAACACAACACCCGCATGTCGCCTGAATTAAGCCTAAATATAGCCTAAGCCAATCCGATGCCTACCCCAAACCAACCTCAGCCAATTCAACCCTTCAGGCCTTGTGGAGGCGGGCTCTGGTTGCTTCTCCCCCCAGCTGGGACCGGAGGGCAGGATGTACCTCATCAGGCGGGGGAAACCCGGTTTCTCCGGGCCTGAAGGTGCTAAATCCTGACACCGCTCGATTTTCCTGGTGGGATGTGAACACGAACCGTTCGTTGCCGATTTTAGAGATTGCGATTTTGGGGTGATGTTTGAGCCCTTTGTCATGTATTTGGGGGGTTTGGATGCAGGGATTAGGATTTGGGGCCCCTCTATTCAGGGCCCAAATTTCGCGGCCCTGATGACAGACAGAGAGCCTCTGTCCAAGATGTGATATATTGTTGGAGCCTTCTAAGATGGGGAAAAGGCGTAGCTTTACCCATGTTCCTTTTTGAACTGGTTGGATGGTCTGGGAAACACGTCGACGGCTACGAACGTAACTCTGTGATCCCCAGTCGTAACCAACCCCTGGCCCGAGAGACGTCGTTGACGTTGGTAGGCATATCCCTATCCCCTTTAAGATGGCATTGGGGAATTGGGGAGGAGGGTTTCTGCTTTCCCCTGCTGGGCTGCTGCGGAAGACACGCCACTTATCCGGGAGACCTTCCACCTGAATTCCTGCTAAGGTTGTAGTTCTGAACTTATTTTTCCGCGCATGGTGGCTGTGGAACCAGCAAAGGCGCCCCAAAAGTCTAGTTTTCCTGCACAAATGGGTGTCTTTTAGGGGACCCCCCCTTCCCCCCCCAAAAGAAAAAACAGTGACTATCCTTTTTGCTATACTTTAAACCACAACTCCCCCCGCCCCCACCCAAACAAAAATAGCAGTGACTATCCTTTTTGTTTTCAATTCCAAGGCAGGGGCAGCATCAAAAACAAGGCGAGGCACCCGCACGGATCGGCCGGCCAGGGAGTCCATCATGCCGATGCTGCAGCTCACGCAGCAGGAGACGCCCATCGTCTGGCGTTCCTTCAAATGCCCCAGGGGCCAGGAGTTGGAGGGCCTCGGCAAGAAGCGGCCCGGCGAAACGGGCGGAGCTCGCAGCTCCTCGCTCTTGGGGAGGGTTCCCCCCCCCCCATTTTGTGTGTGTGTGTGGCATTTAAAGGGAAACGGAATGACATCCACTTGACCTCACAAGGGTTTAGGTGTGTTTTTTTGAATCTCCGGTCTTGAAAGGGATGCCAAACGAAATGCCACTGTTTTTGGGAGTCAGCTGCCTATTTCCCCATGGCCAGGTGTTGAGGCAGAGGTGTGCCTTCTGGTTGCGGATTGATGAACAGGATACATGGATTCCATTTGTTTCGGTGTGGCTCTCACCTGGGGACATGCAGGTCTAGCCAATGTTCAATGATTGCAAGGGAACCCCCATGGAAGTAACAAATTAAAGGCAAAAGGATGGAAATCACTGCAGCCCCATTCCACTAAAAGCCCCCAGCCTGGGGTACCAAATTCCAAGGACCCTGGGCAGCCGGATCCGGGGCTTCTCCCAGTCCGTGGCGCGTGTGAAGCGCTTCGTGGAAGAGGAGGCCAAGCAGCCGGAGGCGGATTCGGAGATCCGGACTTCTCGTATTTTTTGCTGAACCGCCACATGAGCCACAGTCAAAACCCGGGTAGATGGAGGTTAGCAAGGGAAACTCCCAGCCATAAATAGCTGCGGCCGGCTTCTTAATTCTTTACATGGTTCTGGGTAGACCATGTTAATACAGGGTTTTGATTATGGCTCACATGCGGTTCGGTCAGAATTGCCGGTCGTCCAGCTCGAATTGAGAAAATCTTAGGGTCCCTGCTAGTGGAAAGACGAGTCCGGCCCTTGGAGTTTCTCGGGAAAGGTGAAGCCAGCCCTCCGCCGAGAAGGCTTCTCCCATATGCTGGCCCAGGTTCCCAAGGAAGTCTGAAAGACACCAACTAAGCCCCAACTTGTAGCTCCTCTTGGTCCGTCGAACAAGAACAAAAACAAATAAGAGCGGGCGCAGCTTTCGGAACCGCCACTTAGTGGCTAAAGCTTAAACAACTCGGCTGACGAGCGGGAAAGCCACATGTGCACCAAAGAGTTAAAGGTTACTGTCAAGAACGATAGTAATTGCTGAGAACCAAAGGTGGAACCACAATAATTTAAGCCAAACTGACCTGAAACTAGAGTTCATCCACTTTGTGGATCAGAGGTGTGTTGGGCCAGGGACTTTTAGTGAGTCCCCCCACGTCCTTGCCAAACCCCTCCTGATCTTCTGGGCTACAGGGAAGCCGATGGGTCGACCCATGGACCTTCCCACGGTGGCATCGAGCGAGCCGATGGCCCAGGTGGATCCGCAGACTGTGGGCTCCCACAAGCTAGTCCTGTGGACCCCACCGGCGGATGACCCGGAGAGGCGCAAGGCGCGCGCGGAGCTCCGCGAGAGCGCGAAAGCGTTCTGAAATCGTGTTCGGCTCGTTTTCAGCGCGACGGGAGGCAGCTTGGGCATACATTCGCTGGATCAAACAATTCGCTTGTCCAGATTTTAATTGATGTTTCTTGGAGTCCCAATTGATCACCATGGTTGTCCGGTGTGCCAGGTAATTTGTGGTTTCCGTTCTCCACTATGGACTACGGATAGGGGATGTTTGCAGCGGAAAGACATGGAAAGATCGGGTTGGCAGCTTTGGACGTTTGGACTGTTACCAGATAGTGTATGTCTTTTTGAGGGTACCCTTTTTATGGGGTTATCGTGTTGAAGATGAAACCTGAGGCAAACCGTCCATTTATTGTAGGGGTTCCCCATTTGGAGAGAAACCCGCCGTGTTTCTGTGCTGGTCGTGGCAATCTCACCTTGGGTTGATTTTAGCAACCTGGTGGATCCACAGTTGGTGGGTCCCCTCAAATGGGACACTCCCCATTCAAGGGTTTCAATCCTGAGTCCCTAGTTGGACCCCTTTTGCCAGATTGGCTCAGCGGGGAGTCTGGTTTATTCCAAGGATTTGGTGGGTCGCGGGAAACAGGGGCTGCCGGGCAGCCTTCCAGACTCGGAGTGCTGATTTCTGTGCGACTGCCGACCAAACATGGGTGGTTTCCTCTCGGCATTGAACAGACATCCAAAAAGGGCCTCCATTTGTTTCTTTGGCATTCAACCAAAACACCGCAAAGCGACCTTGACTGACCTGTCAACGACGGGAAGCAACTTGACGTAGCTTACATGGCTGCAAACATCGACCAGAGTGGCCAAATCAAATTGAGGGCAGCACATCAGTAAACTCGGCTGGGGATGTAACAGATGTGGACGATTTGCTGGAATAGGTTCATTTGGGACCTTTGTCGGCCAAACTGTTTTCGGCCGTGCTTTTCCATGGAAGCTTACTGGACCCCACTTTGAGCCAGAGGGCAGGGTTCCAGTTTGATTGCCGGAGAAAGACTTCAGCCCAGAACCACAGGTGGCCTTTTTGGGTCAATGTGTGGCGCTGGTATCAACTAGTTAGTGGTTCTAGATTCTGGTCATTTACCTTTAGAAAGGGAAAACTCAGAAACTTCCATTTTGTTTAAGAATATGTTTTGTTTTCCCCTGTTGGTTTTGAAAGGAATCGATCACTACTGGACAATATTATTGCTTTTTCCAGGGGGCTTAAGCAACCGGAAGAAAAGAACACGTTTAGTAACCGTGTGGTGGCCCTTGGTGTTCGGGACACCCACATGAACACGGACTGCCGTCAGGAGGTGGTGGTGGACTTCGACGTATCTTGCAAGCTGCGGGAACACCAACGCATCGGGGAACCTCGGCTGAGGTAAGCTTGTGGATCCTCAGGGATGGCACCTTTGTTTGGTGCACTTTGCCTGGATGTTAGGACTTTATAACTTTTTGCCAACTCATGGGGTTTCCATTAAACCACCAAAAGTTAAACTTTTAGCAGGGGAGCAGACAGCAACCGAGTTGTTCAGCAGGAAAACTCCCCCGAGCTTTAGGAAGCCAAGCTGCAGGGGACACTGGCAACCACTAGGTACCTCTTCTCGTGAGTGATCCTGTTCAGAGACAACGAAGAATGCAAGACTTGGAACACAGCAGTTAATGCCAACGCTGCCCTGCCGCAAGCCTTGTTTGCCCATTTTTCGAGGGGAAATCATGCCAACGCAGGTACTCCCCCCCAAACAAATGAAGAAGAACAAGGGTCAAACCACAATGAGGGGGCCCATGAAAGAGGCAATGAGGTCAACAATAGTGGTTCCTGCACTGCGAGGTTTCCCATCGGTTCACGAAAGGGTCAGACCTGAAGGTTTTTGTCAAGGTGAAGATCGCGGTCGAGTTGCGCGTTTGAATATATTTGGTATGTAGCTTGATGGGTTCGTCGCGGTATGTCTTTTGATGTGCTATAAAGCTACCCCTTTCGCTTGGGTTTGAAGCAAAAGGATCCAGTCCAGAAATTGTGAGACAAGCCCATGACTGAACATGCGCGGTGGCAAGGTCGGGGATCGGCGGATCGATTTGTGTGGCACTGGATCGTCCTAAAGCCACCCCCCGCCGTTCAATCCGCCGCATGAAGCGGAAATCAAGCGGAAGCCTTCGATTTCAGGCGGCCCGACAATCGAGACCTTTGATCCTGGGAGCTTGAAATTGAAACCTCAGCATCGGGGGGAGGGACAAGCAGAAACAGTTGCCCATTCACTTTTCGGGAGACTCCGGCCCTGGTGGGTTTAGGTCAAACGTGCAAAGCACATGTACGCTGGCCGACCACTTTGGGCGACACTCGAGTCGAACAGTTGGGTGGTTAGGTCGCAGGGAAATGACTTCCTTGAGATAGGCAAGCGCAGGCTAAGCAGCGTAAGCCTTGTCAGGCGTGCTACAGTTCTCTTTTTGTCGTGGAACAAGAAACGCGCATATTGGGCCAGTTTCATGTTGACTGACATGATGTTTAACACAAGGCGAATTCGGCATCTATTCGTTTGTTTTCGTTTGTTGTCTTCTTGTTTTCACGTCGAGTTTCCTGGAATATGGACCAGCATCCAACTTTTGTTTGGGTGGGCAAGAATCCAACGCTTGTTTAGGTGGGCAAGAGGTAAGAAAGGAACCAATTTCCAAAACGCCGTTTCGAAGGTCCAGTTCCTCTTCGACTGTCTCATGGGCCTGAAAGACTTCAACGGCTGCGGCTGCATCCTCGCCGATGACATGGGTCTGGGCAAGACCCTGCAGCCTCCCGGCCAACTTGAGAGTGCATGCGAACAGATAAAAGGACAAAAAGGAAACGCACGGGGACCCGTCTGTATGAAGTGTAAGCTAGATTTCTACTTCAACAAAAGATATGCCAACCGCTTCTACTTCAAAATGAACAACTCAACATGTGGCACACTTGATTTTAAGTTGGTTTCCCCTTTCAAACTGGACGAAGCTTGGATTTCTGGTGTTGACACGCGCACCCACAGCGCCACCGAATCCATTTTGGGTTGTTGCAACACAGCCGACATGTGGGTGGGCTCAAAATTAAAGAACCAGGGATACGCAGGTGTTTGTCTTTGGTTTCATTTACCAAGGTGCCATTTTGGTACATGTTTTTGAGCCATAGCCATGTCCCTTTTGTTTCACACAGCGCCGGGTGATGTTCAATCGAGCTGCTGAAGTTTGAGAAATCTGCTTTTCTACGGGCTTGTTTGGGGAGGGATCGTTTTATGGTTGCTCTAAAGGGAAAGCAAAGGAAGGCCATCCTTTTTCAGGTTACCTCCGCACAACAACACCCTGGCAGTACGCTTTTCCACCACTTCCAGTAGGTCGGCTCTTCAGCCAATGGGCCTCGGGTTCTGAGCAATGCAACTTGGGGTTGAGTGTTGGTTTTGTTTCCAAGTCTGAAGTGAGGCATTGAGTGGTTTCCCGGCAGGTCAAGCATCAGGACCTCGGGCTCGGACCGAGGTCGGTGGCGGCCATTTGGACCTTGCTGACGCAGGTGCGGCCACATGCGCCGTGCGTTCGCGTTCCAGGAGTTGCGCGAAGTCCGTGTCTGAAACCTGCCCAACCCAATGGGACAGTCGGGCAATTGCAACAAGCGTGCGGGGGGGAGGGGCCCTGCCGAGGGGGCAGGCCCCCCCAAAAACAGACAAGTTCAAAGCAGAAGAAGACGATCCGTCTCGGGTGGTCAGGTTTCACGTTGCCTTCAGTAGAGTATTAAGGGAGAACTCCCCCCTTTTCTTGTCGCAGGCAAATCAGAAGAGCTCCAAGTCTTTGGGGGGCCATTTGAGACGGTGTAGAGGAGGGCTTTCTGAGACTGGCAAATCTTCGAAAGCCTGCACAGCGAGTTGTTTTTGCCCCCGCGTCCGAGTGAGCAAAAGGGCAAGTCTTCACCGCACAAAACCGAGCTTCTGGCCTTCCTTCGCTTTTCCCTTTGAGAGGCGGTTGGGCTGAGACCATCACAAAGATGGGCCCCTTCCGCTGCTGGCTCCGCTCGGTCGGCTGGCAGGGGGGGCCCAATGGCCGGGGCTGCTGCCGGAAGGCGCTGGTGCTGTGCCCGGCCTCGTTGGTGAAGAACTGGGCGGGGGCGGCTTGGCCTCGAGGTCTCAGAGCAACTGGACCCTCCGGTTGGTAAGTAATGTTAACCCCGGATGAATCAACCCCTGCTTGATTAATAGGGGGGCGGATTCATCACTTTTGACGGGAACACCCCCTTAACAATGGGAAGGGTCTATGAATCCTGGGTCAACATGAAAGGGAAGCCGAAAGGGAAGCCGAAAGGCACGTTCGACTTTTCTGGAGTTTTGGGGGACCACGATTTTTAGATAAACACCCATGGCAGAACATTCAACTTTTGTAGAGTTTCAGGGGAACACGATTTTGTAGAAATACACCCATGGCAGTCCTATGTTAGGTTGGCTGAAAAAGAATTGGTTTTAGTATTTAATCGATTTGTCCAACTAGGGTTATGACGTTTTGGGGCTGAGAGGGAGGGTCATTGCCGTAGTGTTTAGTGGGGATTTCTATTTGACCCACTAAGAGTTCAACCTTTAGCGAGGGGATTTGAGGACAGTCCCGACCCCAAAGGGTCAAAGGGTATGGCTTTCGCATCTGGCTTTGACACCAGAGAAGGCTACGCCGCCAAACATGGAGTTTCTCACCAAAGATAATCCTGTAGTTTTGTCAGGTTTGCTCCAATCCTCAAAGCAATGACCAAACCAGGTCGAACATTGGCGCTGGGTCCTTTTCCCAGGACCACATGTCCGCACTTGTGACATGGTCTTTGAAGGAACCCTGCTAGTGGCTGAGCTATTTTGCTTCCAACTGAGATGGGTGGGGTAGAGCTCTACGTTCTGAACATCTAAGGTGCCACGGTGCCTGGACCACCCAACATGCTTTCCTAGAGTTGAGACCCAGAGGTGAACAATGGCCAATGGAACCATTTCCCATAGTCACCTTGAATTCAGTGGAGGTTCTCTCGGGTTGGTCCCTTCTCAAAATCCAGAAAAAGACAAGGATGCTAGGAGCAGCATGCGCTGACGGCCTCCCATTACTTGGAGTGCCCGGTGTTGAACATTTGGCCGGTTTTGCGGGATTCCAAAATGATCCTGAAAATCAGTGCCAAGAACTCAGGTTTCAGACAACCGACATTTGTTTAGGGTGCCTGCAGGAGACACCCACGTGGGTGGGACCGTGGGACCGTGGGACCGGAGATGGCTGTGCCGCAACTGAGGAGTTGGACAAGTGGCTCCACGGCAAGTGCAAGTACACGGCTCCTCGCCGTGTGTTTAGTTGGAGTGGGAGCCGTCGCTCTTTAGGTTTGTCTGAAAGGGACAGCCAAAGAGAATCGAGACCTTTTTGTCCAACGAGGGTCTGTCACAGAATGAGTTGAAGCCGCTGCCCGGGTGATTTGTTTCCTTTCGCTTTTCTCGGCGCTAAATAGCACGTATGAACCCAGGCTTTTCCAAGGTTTGTGTTGAGCTTTGTTTGCAGCTTAAGCAGTGTTTTCTGATGTGCGCGTGTTGTTGTTTGCGTGGTTTCGCGTGTCCCGGAAGCCCCAAGCAATAAGTTACTGCATTGTACCCACACAGAGATTTTGAATGTCACTTATTAATAGTACGTTGCATCAATTTTGTCTATATATAGAAGTTAGGATAGACACACAACACACAGACACACACTCACACACATTCACATAGACACAACGTGTGACTATTCCATGCACATCATGTGGCCCCCAACCACCTCGGCGCCCCTAAGCGGCCGGGGGCATTTTTCGCTCCATGGGCCAACTCTCGAGCTCGGGAGCTCGGGAGCCGAGGCCTGCGCGGTAACTGGCTCGGTGACTTGGCGATCATCAGCACCTTTTTTTGTTGGGGAGTGGGGTGTGGGGGGTGTGGGGGGGTGGGTGGGGGGTGGGGGGTGGGGGTGGGGGGTGGGGGGGTGGAGGGTTGGAGGGTGGGGTGGGGGGCCAGAAAGCGAGCATTTTATTGCTGTGGGCGGGTTCGGTTTCGAATGTGGGTATGGTAATTTGATGTGATTTGGGTGTTTCGACTGTTTCGAACAGTGGGTTGTCTTCCAAACTGCGGGTTGTTGGGTTTTCTTTGCCCTCGTTGCGTTGAAGGGAGCTAGCTCACTCAGCTGGTCGAAAAAGAAAAACACAACACAGCACATGATGAACGTCCTAGACTTGCTTTTTGTCTTTTCTCGGGTTCGCGAAGCATCGTAATCTTTGTTATGATTATTGCGCACGGAATGGATGCATCCAGGTGTGTGTGAAGAGGGATGCTTCAGGAAAGCATCGGCTTTTGGTCCCGTATCATCATTCTTCACTTGAATCGTTTTTGAAAGGGCATTCACTTAGCCCTCTCTGGGGGAAAACATGTATGGTCCCACCAGCAGCAACTGTCAAACTCGTGATATTCGGAAAACCCAAGCCCCTTGGATGGTGTTGCGACCGAAGGTGTCCCCTTTTCCGTCAGTCTGGTTGCACATAGATGGTTCAAGCTTGGCACTAATAATGATAATAATATACCCGTGCCTTTGATTTGTCCAACATATTTGCTATGGTTTGGACCCTTTTTGACACCCTTTGCGGCACAACCTCATTGAAAGGTGTCATGAGCAGCAGCAGCGTTCTAAATTGCCTCGGCCATGTTAGATTAGTCAAGGAGCTGAACAAACTGTCTCGCAGAGCCCGCGTGCGGAAGCCCGTGGAAGGTTTTGAAGCAGTTTCCTCCGCAGAAGCTCCGCAGAAGGACTGAGAAGACTAACTTTCACACAATTTCAAAAGATGGGCCAACGCTGGTCTCACAGGTTGAGAGGCGAGAGCCAAACATGCGAGGAAGCAAAGGTACGTCCAAGCGCGACAACGCATGACCGCGGAAGCCCACAGCATTTTGAAGCAGATGAGCCTTTGGACTCGCGGAAGCACACCGCTTACACGTGCGCGTGTGTGTGTGGGTTTTCGGGGGACAGCCTTTTGGTTGGTTTGCTGGGTAATTCAAAGACGCACCCAATTGACTCCAAGAGGAAAGCCGGATCGCAGCTTTGGGGGGCCCCCAACCGCCCCCACTTCTGGAGTCATCTGGAGTCCAAATCTTTATGCTCTGGGCACACATTTGGAAGAGGGACCCACCTCACAAGTGGTGGTTGGACATGACCCCCCCACCAAAAAGGATGTCCACCCAACCCCGGGGTTCAACAACCCCGTAAACAATGGCGGTCATATGCGTTTTAGTGGTGATCTGAACCCCAGGGATTTGTAGGGATCCCCAGAAATCCGGGCCAAGGGCCCCATGAGCCGACGCCGAGGCGCAGGTGAGCGGCACCTTTGGGGCCTTTAAGTACGACCGCGAGTCCCGGGCTCCCTGGCCTCGAAAACACCTCCGGATGCGGTCGGCCGGTCGGGTGCTATGCAGCGAGAAATGGGGCTGCCAGCTCTGGGCGGTTCAAGGGAAAGAATGCGGGATGTTTACTTTGGGGTTGCGAAACACAGCCCCTGTGTAGTGGCTTTTTGTTGTGGGAAATGGTATGGATTAGGATTAGCCAACGCTTCATTTTGGACCGCCCAGCTTAGTTTCTGGCGACACTGGGGATGTAAGGGGGGTGTACCTTTCCTCCCACTGACATGGCGCTCGACAAGGGTCTTTTTCAGGATGAACATGGGATTTGCCAGATGCTCTCCCTCAGGTGCTGCGTTTGCGGGCGGTTGCAGCCATCCTTTTTTGGCCTGTTGGTTCTGTATGGTTTGGGGCCCCAAGAATAAACTTAAATCGTGTCCTGGGACATGGAACCGTCTGCTGGTGTGACTCCACGGAGGGGTTGGCCCCCACCCAGTGGGGCTCTGGGATATAGGACGAACTGTGCTCACCATTGCCACCTTAACTTCCGTTTGCTTCAGAATACCGTTTATCTCCCCTTGTGGGTTTAAAAGGCAATCTATCAGGCCAGCTTTTTGGAGGGGCTGAAGCAAATGGAAGTTCATCTGCTCGAACCCGAGGTGCTGATCGCCTCTTATGAGACCTTCCGCAACCATGCGCGGGAGGCTGCGGAAATCGCTCGGCCACTTGAGCCACTCCGAGGGGCAAACTTGTCAACGCGTATGCAGTGTTTTTTTGGTTGGTTGATTTGGAAGGCAGGAATTTGGTAGACGCACTCCCGGCAAGATGAGAAGTTCATCCTAGATGGGCAGAGGCTGTGGCAGTACTGGATTCCAACAGGTTCAAGGGAACAGACCAAACAGCTTTCTCTCTGCCACTGCGGGCAGGTGGAAGATGCGGGCATCGATCTTATCGTTTGCGACGAAGCTCATAAGCTGAAGAACGACGAGGCCATTGCCGGAGCTTGCACGGAGCACACAAAGAATCAGGGCGATTGCGAGCGGCATCTTGCCCCTCGTGAAACATGTTGACTAGGGACGACACTTTTTCAGAAGGATCATGTGCCAGAGGCAACCCACTCGATGTAAAACCGCCTAGTTCGGGAACTAGGTCTTGAGCGGAAGTGTGAGTTGGACACGTGGGAACATAAGCACCGTACGGCAGACCCCAAAACATAGCGGAAGGCTTGCGCACTGCGGAAGCTGGGGGAAGGGGTCAGCTTCAGTTTTTCCTTCGACGAGCGCAAGGCTTCAAGGCGTGCCACCCAAGCATGTCAGCAACAACTGCAGCTGGCGGAAGCTTTTTGGGGATATGCCACTTTACCTGGGCGAAGAAGCTTGGGTCATCAAACGTCAGTGGTGCTCTTCAGGATGAGGGCTGCTTTGCGTGCAGACGGATTACCTAAAGGTTCCGACTTGTGCCGCTAGAAGGGAAGCCACAGGACACCCGTCTGTTGGAGTTTGGGTGGAGGAAAGTTGAAAGCTATGATTTTCCAAGTGTTCGGTTGTTTGGGCTGCTTTTGTCGACCCATGTTTACGGGTGCTGTGTTTAGAGAATGTGTTTCTCCGCTGGATCGCGATTGTTTGTTCCAGTTCTTCGGAAAGCCTCAACCAACCCCAAGCCCACCCCAAACTACAATTCCCAACAAGCTCACCCTCAGAGTTAATCTTAAACCAACCCCAGATTGTGACAAACTCGTCATAGGAATGTCCCGCATTTGGTACAGCACAGGTCATTTCCCACAACCACCAATCCATCCATCCATCCACCCACCCATCCACCCACCCATCCATCCATCCATCCATCCATTCATCCATCCATCCATCCATCCATCCATCCATCCATCCATCCACCCATCCACCCATCGGGGGTGGGGGGGGCTGGAGGGGTTCCGCCTTTCTTTGCGCGTTCGCCAGGCAGCGACCACGCGGTGCATCTCCGGATTGGCGGCCAAGCGGCGCCTGCTCATCTCCGGGACGCCCATCCAGAACAGCTGCTCCGTGAGAATAATTCTTGCGGCCGTTAAAAACTGGCCCAGTGCTGCCAGTTGCCACCCAGGTATGTTTGCCTCTATAGAGATGTTCTACTGATTATTTTACCACTATATATATATATGTATACAGGTAGCAGGTAGTTTTACCAATGGTTTACCAAATATAATTACTTATAGTAGTATCAGTGCCGTTTTTCGCACAACATCTTGCATGGTCAAGAGTAAAGAAGTAAGTTGGGTCAACAGCACCCCGCAACTCCGCAACTCCCAATTTTAAGTTGTTTTTTCTTTGCACCCCCGAAAACGATGGTGTTTTCGCTGGTTTACGCTGCAACCTTGGCACCTCCCAAAAGGGGCAATTCTCTCGCCCCTGTTCGAAATGACTTCCTCTATCCATGGATCAGTTCACAGGGTCTATTCCGGGATCACACCATTTCCTGCTATCCTCTGCAGGTTTTTTCCTACTTGTGGCTTGAGGCTCCTTTCCAGAATGTTGCCGGCCTTGCTGCCCTAGGAAAAAACCACAATCGGCCCAAGGAAAAGGAAGAACAAAAAACAACCAGAAAACAAGCAGAAAACACCACAACTCCTCCGTCCTGCCGTTTTCACTGGCAAACCTTTCGGTTTTTCCGCCGCCCGCCGACCCGCCGCCGGCCGACTGCCGGCTTTGAGGCCTTGAGGAGTTCTTCACCTTGGTGAGCCTGGCCAATCCAGGCGCGGCTCGAACCGCGCGGTTCGAGCGCGCTGGGAGAAAAAAGCTCTGGGAGATGGTGCGGGTAGAGAGCCTTCGACCAAAACCTGGAAGCCGCTCGTGTTTCGCCATGGTGAGTTGTTTTTTCTTTGTGGGGAAGTAGGCAGTTATGTGAGTTGCCTCTGCATTGAATTTAGGGTGGACCATTTGTAAGAGGGAGCAGTTCTGGACAGCTATGAATGGGTGCTTTTTCCTGCAGGAGGATCATCCTCACAAATCGATCACATATTGTCTTGACTTCAAATGAGCAGCGCCCGAAAAACCGCGATGCTCTTTGTCTAGAGGATTTCCTAAGTAGTGTCCACGAAAGGAAAACTCTGCATCGCGAAAGCCCGCGACAAGCTCCGCGAAAGGGCTGCTTGTGTATCCAAAGTTGCCAAGTGACCATTGTTGTGTTGTTGTGTTGTTTGGGGGGGGCGGGCATTTGACAGCTGGGGGTTGAGAACAGGTTCATGTTCCCCTCCGAATCCTGGCCAGCACCGACCATGACTGTTCTCCAGGCGTCTTCGGGGAGCTTCAGGCCGGGATTTGGCGGGGAAACGCGCGTGCAGAAAGGGGGATGACTGGATGCGTGAGGCTTGCTGGGATCTCTTTTGCCATTCCAAACGTCAAACATGGCTCGCGATCAAACCACATCTTGTGGATGGGGGGCAAAAACAAAGAGGCAGGTTCGCTTATTGAGGTTGCTCCTCAGCAAACCACGGTTTTACGGGTCTTTTTGAGCTGCAAGAGACACCAAAGGGAAACCTTGGTGACTCTGAGACGTTGGCATTCCTTGAGGTTTGTCCATGAGGTTGCCCCTGAGCCAGTCTGGCCTTCTCCGATCCCATTCGGGGGAGGCAGCTCGACCCCAAGTTACGTTAACAGCGACACCATCTTTCCTTCCGCCGTGACTAGAGGAGTTTACCCATGTCCCCCAGTAGTGCCCTTTTGCCGTTTCAATTTTCGGGGGAGGGTTCCCCTACTAAAATAGACTACAGAAAAAAGGGTACCCTTATTCTAACCTCTCTACTGGAGGACCTAGTTACAGTTCATCGACCAACAAATCTGCCAATTAGTCTTGGAGCCACATCCCCATGTTCTCCAACTTAATTGGACAGTCACATTCAAATAGTCTACACAACTCGTGTGCAAAAGCCATGACGATGTTGTTGCCGAGGCAGTCGGGGTCACGCACACCCTCTAAGCGTCACATGCCCTGTCGCAGGATGTATATATGCATGCTTGTTATACACATTCATCCACCATCATAGAACATCATAGAACTGTGTGGAGAAGCGTCTTGTGGTTCCATGATGCATAGATGGTGTCCCAGCTGCCAGGTTGATTGATCCAAGCTCGACACTACTGGGCGATAAGTGTCTCGTTTTGTCTGGATGTGTCTGTGTGTCAAAACTGGGGGCGAGGGACCGGAGGTGTTCCTTTGGACGTCTTGCAAACCATCCCCAACAAAGGGTACCTAGAGTCTCCATGACCCCTAAAAAATAGGGCCGGTACCGCCGGTACCCAAAATAAAGGGGTCATGGACCTATTTGTAAAGGGTCATGGAGACTCCAGCACCCGCAACAGACACGCACCACCCCGACCGTATCCGTCCGTCCACCGTCCGACGAGGAGTTCCGAAGGCGCTTCGCGAACCCCATCCTGAAGGGGCGCGAGCCCACCGCCACCGCCGCAGAGCGCCAGAAGGCGGAGGAGCCGCCGACTTTTGGGACGCGGCCGACGTTTTCGCGCCGCTTCCGTTGGCTGAAATCTCCGTATTTTTGCGTGTGCCCGGTTTTTGGTTTTAAAGGGAGTCGATTTCACTACTGGACATGTGTTGGGCTTGAGCAAATTGAAGTCTAACTTTAAGGACCCCAACCTTGGTTTCTTCAAATTTGCCACGGCCTGTGGGCCTTCGAATGGAGAAGTGAGACAGACTTTTAATCTGGCCTGGGAAATTCCCGTCTGGGAGTGGCTATCTAGCCACCCAACTCGATCTCGATCGAGAAGCCACCCATTTGGTCAGGCTCCCCAACAAGGGTTTCGCTTTCTTTCAAGGTTTCTGGGCAAGTTCTACAAGGTGTGTCGGACCGAGTCGACATTTCTCCCAACATTGCCATCCCTCCAACAATAACTCCCCCCCCTCTCCCCGACAGAAACAATTGTCTGCGGGCAGAACCATTAGTACGTATTTAAAGGGTACGTTCGGGCACCAGGCCCAGGCGGTTTCTGAGCAAGGAATTTGAATTGCAGACATCATGATTGTTGTTTTGTGATGGAATTGGCATGGCCAATTCTAATTTGGCTGATTTGGAATTGGGATATTAGGGTCTGTAAAGATCATAGTTATTGATAGGGTGCATTTATTGCGGGGCATGGATAATGGGGGTTGACGCCGGGGATGTATTTGGCAAAGGGTTGGGCAGCAGAATCTCTAAGGTTTTCGCCCAAGAGAGAGCGTCTCACACGCAGGAGATGCTAGCAGAGGTCTCCCGCGTCACAGACAAGTTTATCCTTCGGCGCACGAACCGCCTTTGGGCTGCATTTGGCAGTAGCAATGCTCTGATGGCAAACCTTGACCAATCATCCAGGGAACATATAACGTATATAGACCGCTAACAGTCAACCCTTTTGGGAAAAAGTTCTCATACAATTCGGTAGACTCACAAAGGGGGTGTGCGACCTCGCGGATGTGGGTTCCTCGTTTGCAAGAAGGTCAATCACCATGATATCCCGGATTATACATGTTTGTAATATGAGATGCAGCTGACATGTAACTTAGTGCCAAACGTTATTCTCCTTCTCCCATGGTCATGAGGTAGTTTGGCTCGATCAACAGTACGGCAGCCCCACTCCCAGTGATTTCCCTTATCGTCCAACTCCGAGAAGTGACAAACCGCTTGTTTCATCCGCTGTTCGGCGTCATCTCCAGGTCTGAACGCACGCTTCCTGCCGCCCAAGCAGATCTTCAACGTGCGCCTCCGGATGAACGGTCTCAAAAGCGGGGAGGTGGCGAATGGACAACTTCCCCGTTTACAACCATGGATGGACGCCATAACTATTTTATGCAGGGCATACAGGCAGACAGTATGATGTCTGGCGTACGTGGGACATGGAAGCTGCGTTAATCCATTCATGCGCGTCACTAATTAGATGACGAGGCATTTGGCTACCTTAAGAGAGTTATAGTTACTCCCGCCGTTTACCCGCGCTTGTTTGAATTTCACCAGTTTGACATTCACAGCACCGGGCAGAAATCACATTGCGCCAGCACCTTCTGAGGCCATCGCAATGCTTTGTTTTAATTAAACAGTCGGATTCCCCTTGTCCGCTCCTGGGGGCCTTTGAGGACAGTTTGTCGAAACAGTCCTGCCGGAATTACAGTGCTTGTGTATTGTTAGAGCAAGAAGAGCCGGAACCAAAAGCACTGAATTCAAGGGGCTCAACAGCAGGCGGCCAGGATTTGCGAGCATGTTGGGAAGATATGGGGAAGCTGTTCAAGGGATGCTAAGGGAAGTCTTGCCATTGGCAACATCTTCGGAGCTTTGACAGAGAGAGCGAGAGAGCAAGAGCCCGTTTGACACCAAGCCCGTTTTTCGAAGCACGGAGAGCTACATGCCAAAGGCCCGGGCCTTTGGTTCCAAGCGCTTTTCCCAGAGATCCCGTAGTTGCCCCTAGGTCCCCCAGTAGTGCCCTTCTCTCCCCTTTTTTTGGGGGAGGGTTCCCCCACTCAAATAGACGACCGAAAAAATCGGGTACCCTTAGTCTAACCTCCAAAACTGGAGGACCTAGCTGCAGTTGCCCATGTTGTTTGAGTGCAGAGGTTGGGTTTGAAGAGGTGCCGCAGTGGCCACCGAGGTTTGTGATGCCCACAGACTTCCAGCGGCGGCTCTATCGGAGCTTCCTGAAGTCCAACATCGCCAGGCCACAGCGGATCGAAGCGGATCGAAGCGGCGTTAAAGCGTCCAGATAGGTAACGAAAGGGGTTCGGGTTCATACCTGTGGGTGCTGCTTTGAGACAAATATGTGTTTGTTGGTTAAAACCCTGGACTAGGTTTTACATAGAGTTTCCTGGTTACAGCGTGACCGACTATACTGGTGACTGGGAGTGGTGGATGAGGGTTGCAAAAAACAAGGTGCTACACTGCCGGTAGCGATTGCTCGGTTTTGCTTCCTCAAAGGGAAACCAACTGAGGATGGGTAATTGTTGCATATGTTTCCAGACCATCCTTGGCACACAGTGTGAAGGGGATGCATTTGACCCCTTAAAACATGGCACAAAAGGAGTGAGGCCGCAAACGTATACGTTTACAAGGGCCTCCCACCTTTGGTCTCTTTTGTCCGAACAACAATTTTGTTGTGCCAGGCGGCAGCGAGTCAAGGAGTAGGAATGATTTCAACAGTCGCACATGTTGGAGAGGTCCCAGAGTTGGATACGCCCAGGTCTTAGGCCCCGTTTCCTGTTGCCCAAAAAGGATGCACGTCAATCGTCAGTTGTCTTGTCCAGCATGATGGTTTTCAACTTCTTTGGGTTGGCGCCCATCCGGATTACAACGGTTTTCTTTGAGCTTGGCTTTTGAAGCCCACCCCAACGACAAGAACAAGGGCAAACAACCCAACACTTTCTGTTAAGCAACCAATACATGGTTGTTGTTGGGACACATTCTACATTGTTGCGTATTGTGGTTTAGTGGTTGACATTCAACCACTTAACTGCTAAGATTCAAACATGTTTGCTCCCCTTCCCACGTCAACCTATGAATACGGCCGTGGGTCAACACCAATGGTGCCATTTTGGGGTAGGTGAATTCACCACCCATTTCAGAACCTATTTTAGTGGGCATCGGGATGTTCCCTGGGGGGTACGATTTGGGTTTTGACCCATAGCCATATGCTTACCCGAATGTTCCCCCCCCTGCCAGCAGCAAGTGGCAGGAAGCTGCTGGAAGAGAACTGCAAGATGACGCGCTCGGTGTTGGGCACCATCAAGAAGCTGCAAGGCCGGGCTCGCCCTGTCTGTGGGCAAAAAATGGGAACCCAACATGGCACCTTGGTAAATGGAACCAAAGACTGAAACCTGCGTAACCCTAGCTCTTGAATTTTGAGCCACACCCATCTGCCAATGGAAGCCCCTTTAAAGGGATGAAGCAGTTGCAGAGATAGGAATCCTACATGGGTATCACAGAAAGGACAGTTTTCCACAACCACAACTGCCATCAGGGTAGGGGTAAGGTTCATTTTTACATTTTCCCACCAGAGTGCTTCCTCCCCATTTTTGGATTGGCTTCCTTGTTACCCGCAAAGCTGGAATTGTGGACCCCGCTCCCTTTGGGGAGAAAGAAAGGGATCGGAGCCATTGTGAAGTGGGACCCTGTGTTTCACCAATTGAGGGACTTGCGAGTCGCAATCAAAACTTGGTACTGAGATGGTCCACCCAGAACCATGTACAAGATTAAAAAGGCGGCCGCAGCTATTTATGGTTGGGATCGTCCCTTACTATCCTTTATCTACCCGGGTTTTGATTGTGGCTCTTTTTGTTCCGCGTGCTTTTGTATCATAGATCTCCGGGTTTGACAGCGGCTCGCATGCTTTTCAACAATGGTGACCTGCGTGCTGGAACTATGTCGATCTCAAGTGAGCCACAATCAAAACCCGAGTAGATGAAGGTTAGTAAGGGGCAGTCCCTGCCGGAAATAGTTGCGGCCGGCTTTCTACTTCTTTACATGGTTCTGGGTTCAGCATTTGTGTACCAGGTTTTGTTTGTGACTCAAGTGTGGTCTTATTCATTTCTTGTTGGGAGTCTGGACTCGTACGTGGTACTGTGTCTTCTGGACTTGCCCGTGGTACTGATTCTGTCTTCCACGTACTATGGCAATGGCACACCCTGCAACGCCTTTCCAATGTTTGATGTACAACAACAGCTTGCCTGTTGAAGCACTCGGCCTAAGCAATTTCTTTTGATTATCCTTGAACTCTTCCCAGCACACACGCAACACACCTCCCTGCATCACAATATATCCCAAGTGTCCCAACTCTGCTCTTGCGACCGCGTTTTGTTAGGTTGCAGCTGTCGGGGGTTATACACCACAGGGACAGCGAGTAGCCGGGACGACCTTTCTGTTGAGCCCAGTTTCCCGACAAGTATTTCGGTTGGAAGATGGCATAAGCTCGCTCTACCCAGTACCCGGCCTTTGCACTTGGTGAGAAAATTGATCTGGTGGAAAACAAGCCGTGCGCATTTAGGCTGAGGCCCGTGGCCAAAATTTGCCAATATCTGGGAAAAGATAATTGCGCCTCGAAAAAACCAGGTTGATCCGCCGACAAGACCACCAAAGGTCCCCATTTAAACAGGGCGTCCTTCAAAGATACATGGTTACATGTGATTGCCATGTACAAGCCATTCTCGATCTGTTTCGACCAGCCGAAGGAAACCCGCCGTGGGGGTTTGTGTTCGGTCGGAGAAGAGCCCCGTGTCGTACTCATTTGGTACCTGCTTCTTTCGACACTGGCGGTGATTTTTTTCTCCCATCTCGCGGTTTTGATCAAACTCCTCGGTCTCTTTTGGTTGGATTGGTCGCTTGTTTTGAGCGACCCGGTCCCCTCAAAAGGAAACTCGCACGTTTGCAGGGTGCAAAGGAACTATCAATCAAGGGCATCCACGTTATACAAAGGGCACCCTTGTCATCAACGGGTATTGATGGTAGCATGTTCTTTGTGTTGTTCAAAGCGAGTATTTAAGCAAGTACGGCTTGAACATGTTTAAGCAAGTGGGTGTATCCAACTAAAACTAGGGGAACCCTAAAAATGGGTCTCTTTTTGGCTTACTTTAAGGCTTCCAGCGTCCATTCAAGAACTCGGCAACACATGCGAGCTCTTGTTTTTCGGAAGCCACCTAACTTTCAAGTGGTTGGCTCAGCTCCTTGAGGCCTGGTGAACCATCCCTACCTGGTGCGCTCTTCCACCCAGAAGCTCGAGGCCTTTGGGTCCTCGCGGCTCGCGGGAGAACCGTCCTTTTGCTAGGTCCCTCAGTGCCCTGCTCTCCCCTTTTTTGGGGTTCGGTTGCCCTACTAAAATGGACTACAGAAAAAAGGGGTACCCTTATTCTAACCTCTGCACAGGAGGACCTAGTTTCGGTTTCGGTGAGGCCTTCCCCTTTAGCAAGATGGGTCACATGAGGGTCACCACAGAAGGCACATTGGGACCGTGTTGAGCAAGCCTCAATTTGGGGAACCCCGCAAAGTGTGATATCTTTGGAAAGACTGGGAAACACATGGAAACCGGGTGCCTTTTGTTGATAGGTAGTGGCATTCCGACATGATACTGGCTCAAGAAAAATTGACTGCCGCCCGTGCTGACATTTAGGTAGATTCCACCTTTCAACAGGTTATCAGCCGTATCGCTGGTACCTTGTACAGTCAGCTCTCACCCGCGCCGCAATGGCGTCAAGCGGCGACGGATGCCACCCTGCCATAGCAAAGATGAACGAAGCAGTGGCCAACGAATTGATCAAGGGTGGGCATCCGGAAGGGAAACCGCCATGCAATCCGTCACAGCGCTCCCGAAGCAGTTTTCCTGAGTCCGACCAAGGCGATGCGCTTGTGCCCATCACTTCGGTCGTCCTTCCGGAGGATTCAATGGGAAGCGGAGGGGAACCTCTCGCCGGACATCAACCTGGGCAAGAGATGCACGCGCACATGACTAAGAATGAGACTCACCTTCATCAACATCATGTGAGCGCCCCGAACATATATCAACATAGCCAGACGGTAAATGTGGTCAACACAGGTCCGAGTACGGAGGAAGTGGCTGCCTATGCTTCGGCACGCCACGACGCCATCATCAATCAGCTCCAAGCCGGCCATGTTGAGGAAAAAGGCCGACTCTATCAGGACGCGGTGAACCACATCAATGTATGCCAACAAGAGGCAATGGCGAAGGAAAGAGAGTTCAACGAGGCAAGGCAGCAGTGGGTTGCTCAACGCTTAGAAGCTGAGAAGAAGTATGAACAGCTCAAATTGATTTGGGAAGTCACCCACAACAAGCAGAAGGAGGACGCGGACAGGAGCGCTGCTGAAATGAGGGAGATTATCATGAAGCAGTCAAGGGACATTGAGGCACTACGTCATGAACTGAAATCTCGAAGTGAGCAGAGTAGTTCTTCTAATGTTCCGATTTTCGGTTTGAGGCCAAAGGCCTCTCCTGTACAGACGTTTCCTCCTCCCGGCCTGGATCTTAGTTCTAAGGTACGTATCAGGTCCGCTTCCACCGAACTCCGCCGTGATGGGCCGGGTGCAGCCGATGACCTTGACGGGGATGCCGATGAATACGAGCCGACATCTCCGGCACAGGACCCAAATGATGGAAATGGTAACCCATCAGGCGCAGGTAAAGGCCAGAGCGGAGGCGGTGGGGAACCACCTGCCGGCAATCCCGATGATGACGATGATCATGACGACGACGATGACGATGGGAATGACGATGGGAAGAAGAGCAAGAAGGACAAGAAGAAGAAGAAGAAGGACAAAAAGAAGAAGAGCAAGAAGGACAAGAAGAAGAAGAAGAAGAGCCACAAGAAGCGAAAGAGTGGGTCTCCTTCCGACTCTCCGAGCTCTTCATCGTCCAGCTCCTCGACATCATCATCCTCATCATCATCATCGGAGAAAGCCCGAATGATCCGCAAGAAGCTCAACAAGATCTTGGGTAAGCAGGCGACCACTGTGGACGCAGACCATGACAAGCCCAAGGTCAAGGAGGCAGAGAGGATTATTATTCCCTCCTTTCCACTTCCTGAGAGTTACAGGAATTGGCGCATCAAGGTACGGGAAGCCGTATGTGCGGCGTCTGATCGCCCCGATGACGCTTTCACGTGGATCAGCAGAGTGTGGGAGCCCGCCGTTACGATCGAGGAGCTCAAAGAGCCAGGTACCTTCCTCACCTTGGACGCCAAGTTGCTGTCCGCCCTCACCAACATCATTCAGGGTGACCTGGCGAGACAAGTCGACACCTTCAAGGAGGTAGAGGCGCAGAAGAGGAATCCAGTTCGTGGGAGACAAGTGCTTCTCATGGTGCACGAGCACCTGAGCACGAACATCAAGCACGGAGCCACCTATGCCATGGAGGATCTCCTCAACGTGAGGCTCGTGAACGATAACCTCACTTCCTTCATGCGTAGCTGGGAGGGTGTCCTTGCAGGGATGAACGCCAAGACACCGGATGACTCCATGCTTGAGGCTCTGTTCTACAACCAGCTGAAGAAAAGTAAGCAAATGCAACACCATTTGAATGTCTATTTGAGCGCCTCGGAAGAGTCCGCCGATCACTCATACACCTACTTGATTGAATCTGTGAGGCAATACCTGTCTCGAGCCAGGCTCGAGCGCAACCGAGAACGGGTTGCTAGGCAGAACGGGGGTAGGCCAGCCGCACCCGCCGCTGAGAGCCAACGTGTGCCTAAGGGGTTTTGCATTGCATTTGTCAAGTATGGGTCGTGTCGGCGGGACAATTGCACGTACAAGCATGAACAGCCATCGGGCGATGCCAGGGGTAGGACCCCATCAAGGGACGCTAAGCCTAAGAAGGGTAAGGGTAAAGGCCGAACGAATAGCCCAAAGGGAAAGAAAGAGTGCCGTTTCTACCTCAAGGGGAGGTGTGACCGTGGTGAAAACTGCCCGTTTGCTCACATCGACCCGAAGCCGGCCGTTCCAGGGTCAAGGGAGCCATCCGCAGACAAGCAAAAGAAGCAGGGAAAGGATCGGAAGCATCGCAAATCGAGCAGGGATCGTTCCAAGTCGACCTCTCGATCCACTTCCCGTGATTCCAAGGGAGAAAAGAAGAAGGGTCACAAGGGAAAGTCTTCCGGAAAGCCTTCTCCTGCTGCTGTTTGTGTGTTGGGATGCTTGTTGTCTTCCATGATGAACGCCCCTATCGCTGAGGGGAACCTCATGTCGGACTGGAAGCATGTGCCTGCCCTCCCGAGCGTGCGTTTCAGCTCGAAGGTTGAAATGAATCGGATACCAGCACATGGTGAGCAGTTTAAGATCGCGGACAAACCGCGCGTGTATTCAAAGGTCTACCCAATCGACCATCAGTTTTTCCATGATGAAGTCAGCATAGATGATGCTAGACTCGGAGCAACCATGCTCGCCTTCATTGTGAGACGTGAATTGGAAGGCCATCCGACTAGATGCAAATACGAATGTGACAGCGAGATCGGATGCTGGCAATGCGCCCCGAGAGACATGGGCGCAAAGCCCGCACTGGCGAGCAAGAGATTCTCTCCGAACTGTTCATGGATTATTGACACCGGGAGTGGGACTGACCTTTTTACTCGTGCGAATTGCCCCGAATATGCAATTTATAATTCAAATGACCCCGTGATGTTGATGACTGCCAATGGACCAAGTGATTCGTCAAAGCAGGCCAACATGGCCGCAGGTGACCTTGGGAACACGGATCCATACTTGTTGCCACAAACACCCTCTGTTCTCTCTGTAGGTTTGAAGTGCATGAATCAGGGTTATGACTTCATATGGTACGCGAAGGACAAGCCATTCTTTGTCAAGCCTGATGGGACGAGAATATATCTCAAAGTTCGAGATTATGTCCCGTACTACGACGTGTGGGATGGCGACTCAGCCATGGCATGTCCCGCCAAAGGCACGCCGCCAAGCCGACCGGAAGGTCAGGTCGGCAGAAGCAGTGCATCGAGTGAATCGTCATACTCCTCCTCCGAGCAAGCTGAAGATGCAGCGGGAGAGGAGTACACGCCTAGCATTGCCCCTCTAGAGGACCCTGAGGTGCATGCTAGAGTTGTCGCCGAGCTTCTGGCGGATGACCCTATCGAAGTCAAACCAAATGAACATGCTGAGCCGATAGAGAGTAAAGATTTAGCAGGGGAAGATGTTGTTGGCAATCCCGATAAGAAAAGCCCTAGATCACTTGCAGAAAGTGCCCTAAGGCAAGAAGCAGCATCACGAAAGCACCTGATGACACACCAGCCAAAGAATCCATTCTGCGAAGTGTGCAAATGCGCCAAGATGACCAAGTCTCCCTCTCGCTCGCGGGGGGGATCCAGACAAGTTGATGCTCGAAAGTTTGCTGAGCACATCACAGCCGATTTCATAATCACTGCAGACGAACAGGAACTAGGCATAGACGATGAGTACTCTGCTCTTGTTATAAGTGACGTTGCCACCGGTTTCAATTATGCATACCCTTTTGCTAAAAGAAACACGGAAGCCACGGTGAAGGCGTTTCAGCATGTCACTTCCTCGTCAGACGAGGTTGGCACGTTTTATAGTGACAATGCCCCCGAGCTAATTGCTGCAGCTGAACAGATGGGCTGGAGACATGTTCTCAGTCAAGAGTACATTCACAAATCGAACGCGGTGGCTGAACGAAGCATCAGAACCGTGCTCGAGGGAACTCGAGTCGCACTTGCACAGGCCGGATTGAATCAATCATACTGGACGCACGCCGCAAGGCATTGGTGTTTATCTCAGAATGTTTGTGAACCACCTTCTGGTTCCAGAACACCTTGGAATCTTAGGTTCGAAGAAGAGTTCAAAGGTCAGTTCTTGCCGTTCGGGTGTCGCGTAGACTACTGGATTGGCCCAAGACAGAAACCAAAGAAGGACTTGAAGTTTGATCCCACGTCCAATCCGGGAATATTTGTTGGATATGTTATCCACCCCGGCTTTCTATGGAGAGGTGATTACCTTGTTGCATCGTTGAAAGAGCTGAATGAAACGGACTTTGATGATATTGTGAAGTTGCATCGTGTTTTCAAAATCACGAGGCCCGATGGAAACTTTGTTTTCCCGATGCAGGACCGTTACAAGTCCCTTCGAGAGGGTAAGATTTCTTCAACTCAATCTGGTCCCACCATTCAGGATGCCCCTCTCCTAGAAGCGGGACAAGATCCGGAGGCTGTTGCCGATGTGGAAGATGAGACGCTTCTAGATGAACCTGCTCCA